ATAGTTGTTATCATTGGGTTTGGCGTACGCGTAACTGCTGGATACGGTCGAAGAAGGCAAAGGACGAAACAGTACTTAGCAAGGATTGTCCGTGCTAACAAGGAATCTCGCATTTTTCTGGATTGAAAGTACTTGCCAGTACTTAAAACACATCTGCGAGACTGCCAGATCGACAGCGCTGAACCCCTTATGCTCACATGTTCAAAGGGACAAACACTTCTGAAAGGAATGCCCAAGGAAGAAGGCCCAATCAAATCTGGTCTGGGAGATGCCAATTCCTCGAACCTCCACATCGGCTCTGGTAAGTCAAGTTCTGCTAGTTTTTCTAGTCGCAAGGGTAAGTCAAATTTAAGAGCACTTAAAATTGCGGAGCACAGTGAGAAACGCGTAAGACGAAAAGCGGAGTAAGAACTTTTTATTCTTGATGCTGAAGATAAACCGAAACTTGCTAGGTTCGAGGTTAATGTCGAGCCTGATGTAGAGTCAGGCGATGAGGGTGATGACTTGAAATCAGCAGAGAAAACTGAGCGCGTAGCTCGTTACTTAGAAGAGTGCACCGTGAAGGGCGAATGTCCAGAAGAAAGTGATCGTGAGATAAAATCGTGTATTGGTTCACACAGTCAACACAATAACTCCAGTAGTGGCCAATTTAGTACTGCCTAATATAGAATTGTCTTTTTTTTATGGCAATCCTACACACTATTGGAAATTCATCCGCCAGTTTGAGGTGTATGTTGAAAGATAGGTGGAAGATCTTGGGCAAAGATTGTTATACTTAACGCATTATTGCCGAGGAGATGCGAGAGCCGCGATTGAAGAGTGTGTTATGTTACCTTCTTCCAAGACATACGCAACAGCACGGACTATTCTCGGAGACATGTTCGGCCAACCACACATTGTCGCACGGTCCCTTCTCGAGGGCCTATTTACTCAGGCACGACAGATTCCACATACGGCAAAGTCCATTTCGGACCTCTGCATAAAAATGAAGGGTAGTGAAATCGCACTC